ATAATAGCTACAACGCATAAAACCTTACATACCAGCCTTGAGGGGACGGACCTATCGGCGGGGTGACAAGGGCAGTAAATGACCCGCGCTATGACAATGAGACAAATGGGTGGCGGTGATTATGCGATGAGTCTCAGAAGGTCACGTAGCTCCTCTTTTCGCATTGATCTCTGGCTTGAGGCGGTGTATCTCCCGAGCTTCCATTATTTTCCTCTGGAGCGGCCGTACCAAATGCAATGCAGTACACTCACATCGAAAGACAGAGCGGTCTCGTTTGCGTTCATTTGGAAGGTACTATTCTTTTGAGAGGCGAATGGAAAGCTTTAACGTTCGCACCTCTTGGCAGCCAACTCAGAGGGGAATACCAGATATAGCACTGTTCCATCTTTAATCGCAGTCGGACTCACAGTTAGCGAGTTTCATAGAACTAAAGTAGGTATTTGTCACGTATTTTCGTTTTAGCTATGCTTGCATGCCGTTCTAAAGCCTAACACAAGCCCGACCTTCGCAACTATCTAGTTTTTCTTCTTTAGCAATCAAAACCCAGCTCCCTATCAAGCCCCACTTGCATCATATTGGCTTCAATTGATGAATGAGTATTCTGCTAGGTTTTACTTTACCAGGTTCTAGGGCACACTATTACATTGTAAAATAACTAAATAAATAAAAATATTTATAAACTTCGATAATTTCAATGTATATCAAGAGTCTCTGATGATAAGTTGATGGTCCCATTTTAGGCAGCGCACAAACAAATGGTAGAATAAAGGATCCATTCACATGCATTTTCAACTTAACCAACAAGAACATTGCGGCGAGCAGCCACTGACTAAGCAAGACTCTACAGAAACAATGAATCCTAATTCACAATGCTTTTTTTACAAGTGTCCTCTTTGAGAGAGATTCTATAGCTATAATTCTAGTCTAATTCTGAATAGATCTTCGATCCTAGCTTTTTAAAGAATTTGAAAGTGAAAAATCTCATAATTTCCATGTACAATTCACGATCGAAGCCCTTCAGCGTATTGAGAAGTAATGAAACGAGAGGAAGTGAGTGCCTCAAAGCAAAGCCACCGTTGTGGTAAATATCACAATCTCCCTTGGCAACAGGTACCCACACAACTCACAGTTTTCAAGGCGGTATGTTTTCTAAAATGATCGCACACGCTTCCGGGCCACAAAATCTTTGTTCGAAGTACTCCTCGAATGGCGTTTCGTTGGAATTTGGGTCGTGTCCGTCTGACGAAATGTTTTCGATTCATCTCCAGCTGTTTCCTGAAAGGACATCATCGAAGAAAATCAATGACGGTATTCCAGGAAAGTTCCTGAGGTTATACTCTCTATAGAAAAATGATACTCTTACTTCTTTGGAAGAGAATGGCGCCCCTGAACTGCGATCTCCGCCTTCCTCTACACTCGAATCATCATCCGAATCGGCACTCATGACCCTTAAAAAGAGTGGTGCACCCTTTTCGTCAAAGCCGAAGGGGACAGTCACCTCCTTGGATCCTGATCCTCGCCATGTGTGAGGTGAATGGGTCCGCAACTGCACTGCCATGCCACTTTCTCCACTAAAACTATTCTTGAACGAGGTTTGAGGGGAGCAACACCACGGTGCCGACTCATATTCCGCCTCGCGCTGCCGCGCGGCCAGCCATAAGCCCAATCGTAGCCAAGCTGTCGCTACTTGTGAGCGCCCTGTCACTTCTGGTTGTTCTCCATGGCTGAGTATTTGTTTCGCTGTGGGGCCTTGGTATATGCAGAAGTGTTACAACTTGACGATAGAGCAGGTGGTGTATGAAGCCGACACCGAGTATCACCACTCTTTAGCCCAGTTTCCTTCGGGAAAGTGGTACGCTTCTGCAGCTGCGGGCCCATTCACCTCGCACAACATGGACGGCCCTCAGAGGTGAATGTACTTCACTCGATGATATCACGGGAATATTTCGCAGCCTACAGCACAACTAATACCTAGAATCATGATGACTTTTGAGTTTCGTGGTTATGTAGTATATTCCTATTTCCTCTTCACTCTCCTTCCTAGGTGTATCCATTTTCATCGACTCACATACTCTTTAGATGTTTTGCCCTTCCTTTAGAATTTTGTAAAGGTTGCTGCTGATTGTCATATTAACCCTATGTTCGGAAGATGTTGTGGGCATTTCGCGTACTCCATTTGAACATGGCGTAGGATTCGTTTTTGTGCTGCTTCGAAAATTGCTAAGGTGGGCAAAGGCATTCCTACAACTCTCCCAAAACCAGGATTCCCAGAGCTAAAAGCGCAGCCACCGCTACGTTTAAGTGAGGTGCGGGGCTACGCCCACTCCATCTTTAGGATATGGAGAACCCCATGTAATACTGTACTTTCGACGAGAAAAAATCGCATGAGGGATAGAATGAAGAGCAAAAGTCTCATTGTCCACAGTCATACTGTCTTGACTAATCGACGGATTAATGAAGCGGCACTTATAAAAAAAATATACAACTTTCAAGAATTTCTAGGTCACTTCCGTTGTCGTATGTGAAGAGGATGAACTTTAGACCATACATTCTGCTACCTTGGATTTTTCTCGGTCTGGACTGCCGCCCATTACTGAAAACTGCCATCTGACTTGCGCTTGGAGGCTTCAGACAGTGGACTGTATCATGGTTTTATCAACCTCGCAGCGCGAGAGCGTGCATACTGATAGCGCGAGAGATTGCTGAAAGAAATCAAAGAAATCACAGTGACAGAAGTATAGTCTAGTTTGCAGCGGACGAAGGAGCGTGATAGGCGGGATGACTTTGGCGCAAAGCCAAGCCCGTTCTCCACCAGTTGCTGAAGTGAGCAAGTGAGTGCCTGGAACGCCCCTTCATCCTCATTGAAATTTTTCCCTGAGGATGAAGGGGCGCTCCAGGCAGTATGAGGGAGTGTATTTTCTATTTTCGACACCAAAATACTTACAAAGGTATACCTGCGATCTGATTTCCTTTCACCGCTACGTAATGCGCTAGGTAAGGATGGAGTGCTCTCCTCAAGATCATTCTGAGTTTCATTCTCACTGTCATCCATTTCTGTGACAGACGTTTCCATTTCATGCCCTTCCATTTCATGCCCGGGGGAAGACACCTCCGTATGGCCATCTGAAGTCGACTGAACCTTCTCGTAGTCCGCGTTTTCTTGTGCCTGTAAAGGAAAATTCGTACAGCTGGCAAGAAGTCTCGGTATAGGTAAGCAATTGTAGATGTACTTATTCACTTAACTCAATAGAATTGCTGGCAGATCCACCCTCACTTATCTCGTTTGCTTTAAAGAGCGTCTCCTGGAGAAGATCTAGGAGACCGCTCAAGTCGTTGTCAATGTCCCATTTCTCGAACTGAGGCCTTAAAAAGACTTCATGAGACAGTTCATGAAAAATAATATAAATCAATAAGATACTTTGAGAACGTGAACATTTCGATAAAGAACTATCGGTGACGAAGAACTAGAGACTACTGATTTATGCCTATTCTTCCGAATCGCGGATCCGGATCGAGACATACTTTCCTTTCGCGTTCTCCCGACTATCGGACGACGAGATCCCCCATAGCGAATTCTCCACTTTCGCAAACTAACAACTTTTTGCTCCATTAAAATGAAATAAAACTTACAATACTTCCAACATTCGCTTCGCTAACCACCTATTCTTCTGCTCTTCTTCCGAATCAATAATGAGGTCGCCAATACCATGACCTTTCCTTACGTGTTCATAAACCTAAGCTATGATTCACCAGTGAGAAAAACGATGACGATTTATTATTAAATACAGGATTACAAGGGGTTCAAAATAATATGGGACACAAAACAACTTCTCTATATGTGAAAACAACGTAACATAGAGGCTGGACCCTACGAAAAGGAAGCGGAGAGTCAGCGCTAAAGGACAGTGGAGAACACGCGAGTACTGATAAGTTACTCGCTAATATAAAGCACAGCCGTGCTTACTAATTTTGACTTAGTCCCGATAAACATCCACATAAATAAGGATGTATTTCAACAACAATAGCACATGCAACCTTCACGCTAATATGTCAGACGTCGACAACTAGTTGCCAACGAGGTGCAAGGCGAAAAGGGTGTCGGGGAGGTAAGAAGCGCTACTTCCCGGTTGTGGCATCGCAGTACGGGTTGACTTGGGGTATAGAGTAGATGGGTAGCGCTATTACCATATCGAGTGGGTTCGGTCGTGGTGGATGCTGTGAACGTCACCCCGCGATAACGATTATATCATCGCGACCGAGAAGTAAGGCAGCGTTCAGACTTCGCGATGACACGCGTCGACGCGTTCACGCTGGCAGCTCTGTTTTGAGAGGGTATAGAAGAATAGGAGAGTACCAGACTCTCTTTCCCTATTCTATCTCAAAACAAAGGCGACCGGCGGCGATCGATATCCGTCTGTAGTAAAAGAGCGCCATCGCAATGATAGCGCATTGAAACTCGTCAACGCGTGTCGATGCGCGTCATCGCGAAGTCTGAACTGGCTTCACTTTAGAAAAACAATGCGTACCTGCTTTGCACGGTCTCCAACATCATATGGTATTCCCATTTTGCAGGCTATGTATGCTGCGTATGATGAATCCACCACACCGTCAACAAGTCGATATTGAAAATCAAGTTCTGCTCCTCGACAACGCACTTCCATTGTCTAAACTCCACCGCATTGGTTAAAAAAAGTTATGCTCTTCAACGGTCTAAACACTCTTACATGGTAAGAGACGACATCCTGTTCATCAGTTACAAAGTTTGGCAGAGCATGAAAGTGGGATGAAACGAAAACATGAGGGCAGCCGGTTTGTCCCTTCGCAGCCCAGTAAGATATAGTCGACGCTAGCAACGAGAGGCCAACTTCCTGTAATCCTTCAATTGGATAAAGAGTATTTTTAATAACAAAAGAAACAAAAGACTGAACTGAGCAGTATTTTTCCCCAACACCTTTGTAGATATAATTGAAAAGATTTGAATATCAACGAAAATAATCAAAAATATCAAGGAAACTGATATTGTTTGTTAACTGCTGTTTAACGCCGCAGTACGCGATCCGAAAGCTATCACAAGAATGCTGAGTTATGGGCAAAAGTCGGACCACGGACGGGATTCGAACCCGCATCTTCTGCTTTCCGTATGAGCCGGTTAGCCGATATCGGCAGTGAACCGCAAGGCCGAAGGCTTTTCATCACGTTGAACGTGTGAGTGCTTGAAGGTAATGGCACAAATAGCCATTGAGCTGAGTGGTCAAAAGTGGCCTCGGTAGCGTAATAGGGAACGCAGCTGCACGGAAAGCAGAAGATGCGGGTTCGAATCCCGTCCGTGGTCCGACTTTTGCCCATAACTCAGCATTCTTGTGATAGCTTAAGGAAACATTAACACCACAAGCTCGAATGTAGAAATCGCAAAGTCGTTCGAAAAACCCACGGTCATTGTTCCTTTTCCGAATTCGTCAATAATGACAAGAGAACGCTCGTTGCCTCGTCGCAACGCAATCGAAACCTTGAAGCAGTCACTAATGGTGTATTCAAAATATGAGAAAGGTGAGTATAACCTGATTTAAATCGCTAGCAAAAGTACTCATGCCATCGAGCACTGAATCCACCGTATATATTCTCGAAAATATTCGCTTCACCATCCCTATGTGAGCTACTTCCGCAGGAACGAAGCTTCCAATATGTGCGAGGAAAACAAGTAATCCCACCTGAAAGAGTATCAAAACTGAATATCAAAGAACTTGTCGTCGACCGCGAGGCCAGATTTCATGCCTTTCACGTTCTTTGATGTTCTTTGTGCTAAATGAATTCTACAAGGCCATTTAAAATTCTGAATAGAGTCGACTTCGGCCGCTACCTTGGTTTGGACTGGCAACGCGATGGCAGGACCACCAATCCCAGTGTATGAGCGCTCCGCTACGCTCTTACACCAAGTTTGTGGTCCTCTCTCCTCCCAAAGCTCATCGTTATAAGAGCACAGATCACCGGGCAGTGTGCACCATCGTTGTACATAGTTCCTCAGGGGGGGGGGTCGCATTTGAAGGTAGAAGAGGGAAATTACCTTGGGCCTTGAAAGCTTGATTATACGACTGCTGTTGAACTGTTTCACCATGATACCTCCGAATCGGCTGTGTCACTAAATACTTTTCTTGTCTACCCCCCCCCCCTGCAGTTTGACAACAAAATTTCGGGATACGATAGAATGATGGCTGTGAAAGAGGGTTACACCGAAGCAGGAAAACGATGAATGGGAGGGAGGGATGAATGGGGGGGGTACTGACACTGTCGTTTTACCCATGCCGATGATGATGCAGCCTGCACCAGAGTCCGCAGGACCTCGTTCCTGGACACAGGAGCAAACTTCATCGCGCCACGTGCGCTATCTCCCATCGTCTATTTTGAGGACATTCTTAAAACAGCAATCAGTGGAAAATGAGATCCATAAGCGTGCACATCAACACTACCTGTTTCAGGTAAATACTCTTGCCGCATGCATTCGGTCCTGTGAAGACTTTGATTCTTGTAGAATCACCACCAGAACTGCAAGCAGTTTCATATGTAAGCAATCTCACATCTACAGAGCTTTGGAATCGTATAGTCTCGTTCGCAGCGTATGGTGAGGAGTGCCCTGCGGCTGCGTTTGGCATGGGGCCAACCCCTTTTTTCTCTCGACAACACTGCATCATATCGTTCATATCAAAAGTTTCCCACCACTTGTTGACACATGCCCCTTCAGCACTCGATGGAGAACGCCGCGCTGACACGCCTCATCACGCGAACAATACAGCTCACATCTATGAATATTTGGCACTGTACTATACTTCATCTTCTTCTCACCTCACAGTATTCGCCACGAAATGCTCTGTAACAAGCTTCGACAGTGGGTGGACTACACGAGTTGCATCGATGATCGGTTCTTCGACAAATTTGGGGCAGTTCCACATAAAATGAGAATATTGTTAGTGGCGCACCACACAATTCATCAACTCTGCAAAACTATTGACAGCAGTCTCACCCTAGCTGCCTTGCTGTCAGTGCAAGAGAAATTGCCGCATCCAGCGAAGAAGCAACACGTTCAACTCCAAGAAGCATCGCCGAACGCGACAATATCAACGATGACATCCTAAGAGGGAGCAATTAGTTGACAGCACATTTTCATCAGGATTTTTGAAAAAAACACTACAAAAGTTCTAGAGGTACGTCGTGCCCGAAGCAAGACGAATTCTAGCGTGAAGGATAAACTTGGTTCCATAATCATGGCCTGTAGTAAACCAATGTGAACTACGGGAGCGCGATAAAATTACACGTTTTGAAGCTACAGCACTACCTGCGTAAACAGCAACAAACGGTTCGGTCTCAAGATATCTGTCAACCGCAAAGCCTTCCTTCTCCCTTTTGTCCCTTCCTTCCTTCCTTCTCTCACCCCTGTTCCTTATTTTCCTCCCTTCAAATGCTCGACTAAAAGATACGATGAAAAAATACACTTGAACCCTCGCTGCGAGAGGAAACCCGGTTGACAAATGGTTGACCTAAGGATTTACCAATGAATGATCACTCAACTCACCTGATGGTAATGGTAGTTTCTTTATCTATTATTTTCATTTTCACATCGCCCAGTTCCTCATCGAGCTCCCTCATTCGTTTGCTCTTCACATTCAACGTATTATCCGTCGAGTAGATCACTTGAAGGCTAAACTCATAACAGCTAATAAAACAGTTGAACAGAAACAACCAGTAAATCCACTTTTCAGGGTATAAGCCACACCTAACAAACAAAGATCTCCTGCGCTGGCGAACAAATTCCGGGCAAACACCTTCATTACTTTAATCCCGGTTTTGCACAAAGTACCTTTAAATGCCCCTCCTCTAGATTATAGGCTTACAGGCCCCCCCCCTATTAGGGCCTTCTCAAATCGTAGGTAATGGTGCCCACGCTCACAGCTCGAAAGCTGCTAGGTGTTCAAATTGCAAGAAACACGAAACGTTACCAGCA